CCCCCCCCCCCCCCCCCAAGCATTAAGGAAAACTTGCAAATGTACACCTTCTTTCTTTCTGTGGTGGTGGTGTTTCTGGTGGGATTTGTTTTTGTTTGGTTTGATTTTTTAAATGGCATTGGTTCCTTCTGTGTCTTTACTTATGGCTATGACAATACTTTCACAGGCACACATCTTGTATTTTAGGGCTTACGGTGTTTCCTTAAGTAGAATTTTTTAATTCTGGGTGGTTGCCCACATAAAATTTTACTTTTGACATTTAGCTGGCTTTTACTATTCAGGTTTTTAGTTTTCATGTTAAGAATGAACAAGTTTCTTCTCCCCCCTTGTCTAAATTCAACAGACAGAAAGATTAAGAGCTTGTTTTCCTTCTATAGTTTATAAAAAATGCTTCTGAAAGCCAAATTTCATTTGAAATTATTACTAGTTGAAGATGAGTAGTATCTTATTTGGACTTGTATATAGTTTGTAGGATTTATAAAATTTCTGATGAGTTTAACCTGATGAGTATTTAAGACATGTTTTTCTTTGTGTTTTACAATGCTAGTGACTTGTGTGTCCTGCCAGAGGAGTGGAATTGTAGCCTTCCTACTATTGAATACTGGATTGTTTGTTTGATATACATACCATAGCTTCATGTTACTAGCAGTGTGGTGTGTATATATAAATGGACAATCAGATTTTGAAATTATTCCTGCCTGATGTTGAAGGGAAAAGGTATGCAAAAAACTTGTAAATTCAGAGCCTTTGCAGTATGCATAACACAGAACATGTTTCCACAGACTAAAATATGAGATGAAAACCATGCAGTTGAAAAAATAATCAGGATGCAAAATGGTACATTTAAAACAAATGCACCTAAGCATTAAATGATTATGGTTCTTTGATACAGAATGCAACTAAATTAAAGTCCATTTCCTGATGAACTAGTGGACTCTTAGGCACCTGGTTCTTTTGTTTTCCTGCACTTTTTTCCTTCATTAGTGAAAATCCCCTAGAAGTGGGGGCAGACACAATTTTTCCCTTCTTTCCTTCTTCCATTAGGTTTTATTAATACATATGACTATTCATTTATAAAGTCGACGAGCTATCTCTCCCAGGAGGGAAGCATCAGCATGTTAAGAAGTAATTAAATAACCCATTGCTTGAGTTGGGTGTTTTAAGTTCTTGCTTGTTGACCTTTTGCCCAGCCACTGGATAGTTATCCTTGAAGAAAAGTGTTGAATGCATACCATAGCCGGCAAATTTGGACAATATTGGCATTAGATAGAAGCTGTCTGATAACATGTAGCAGATAAAAGGTTGCTAGGGGAACAAGAAAATGAAGGTTTGTAGAGAAGAAGAATACTAGGAGCAGGTCATTGGTGCTACCTTTTGTTCAGCTGACAGAAGAGCTACAGCATGATAAGTTAACACTGCAGGACACATCTCTGGTATAAGAGGCTATATTCATGATTCATAGTAAAGACAGTTAATGTAATATAAAATGTCTGAGCCATATAATGCTGGAGCTGAGTAGCTTATGGATTCAGGAGGCTGACTGTTCTTGTCTTATAATTGTAGGTGTAGTTGCAATATCAGGCAGTGAAACGGAGGATGATGACACTATGGATGTCCCACTGGATCTTTCCTCATCTGCTGGCTCAGGCAAACGGAGGAGGCGTGGCAACCTGCCCAAGGAATCTGTGCAGATTCTTCGGGACTGGCTGTATGAGCACCGATACAATGCTTATCCTTCAGAGCAAGAAAAGGCGCTGTTATCCCGACAAACACACCTTTCCACACTACAGGTATTTAAAAAAAAAAAAAAAGAGTTCTCTCTTCAAAAGGTGTTTTGTGTTTTAATTTACCTATAGTCTAGTCATGGATACAAATGTTTACACTGCAGATGAGATTGCGTTTTTTTATTGTTACTCTCCTTCTGATAGCACTTGTAAGGGGATACAGATTGATTGCATGTTATGATGATCTTTATTTATTTGGAATAAAATGATATGTCTTGGAGAACTGACAGCCATGAATTTTAGCATGCATGCTAATTTTTTTGTGGAATAATGCCCCACAAGATACAAAGTGTCTATACAAGGTAATTTATTGTGAGAAGGAGGTATTTATTTGTCAGCACAAGTTTTATGGTGATAGATACGCAGCTTAATGTATAACTGTTCCCTTCAAAAACTGCACTTGAGGCTTGTTCCTACAGAATATGTACATATATAATGTGCATGATGACTTCCATTAGGATCAATGCAACAAGCTGTATGGGATAGAGCTACTCAAGTGTGCTAGTTACAGGTGTGGTGAGGCTTTTGTGTGGTTAATTTGGATTCTGCTCCTGGGATACCAGTGTGAGGTCCCTTGCATACATCATTCTCATCTTCTGTGATCATCTTTGTTGGAATAGCTGTTGACCATTGCTGCTTCCCACCTTGTGGGAAGGTAGCTGCATGAGAACTTCTTGTATAAACCTGGATTTGGTTTTGGGAGGTGCTAAATAGAGAGCACTCATGTTGCTTTAATTTTCCATATTAATTCAATGGTACAAATTTCATAGTTGGCTATAAAATAACATAATAAAGAAAACTTCCTTTATGCAGTAAACAGAAAAAAGTCGTTAGACTATAAACTATCCTGTATTGCCCAGGAAACTGGTTTGATGTTTAAACAAGGACAAACTTAAATGAGGTAATTCATGTTATGTCTGTCGACACAGTCAGTTGAACAAGGAAAATCGGTAACTATTTGTGGGAGGAGTGGCTCTCTTCAGAGAGAAAAGGTTTTCCTGTTGTTAATTAACCTAAGCTAGGGAACAATACCCAATAGGTTAATGTGTGTGCACAGAGTTAAAAGCTAAACCCCTTGTTTGGGCTTCTCGCTGCCTTCCGATGTCCCGAGGCTTTCTGTAACTGGAGCAGAGAGTTGTCAGTAGAGCTGGGACAAGGGAAGGGCCTTTGCCAGGCGTGTCAGAACTTGTCAGTAGGTCCCTCTTTTGTTCTGCAGTGAAGGAAACTGCTTGGAGGGATTCATTAATCTAACCCGGTGGCTCTAATGGCACATAGTTGGAAGTGAATGAAGGTAGAAATTAAGATGTCATTATATTCCCAGGTCTGCAACTGGTTTATCAATGCACGCCGCAGGCTGTTACCTGACATGCTGAGGAAGGATGGCAAAGACCCAAATCAGTTCACTATCTCGCGGCGAGGGACCAAGCTTCCCGAGGGCAGCCTGGTGGAGTCTGCTATCAGCACAAAGAACTACATTCCCCTGCTGGAGGAGACTGCCTTCCTTCCCGCCGCTGCACCGCTCGGCAAGACTTTGTCCTCTTCCAAGCCAGCTTCCCCGGGATCGGTCCTGGCTCGGCCGTCGGTGATTTGCCACACAACCGTGACTGCGTTGAAAGATGCCCCTTTCCACTTTTGCCAGCCAGCTGATGTAGGCCAAACCACGGACCTGCAGCAGCCCCTGGCCGGCAGCTTCACAGACAACACCCTCTCCTGCCATGAGGACGCATCTAAACTGGGACCTGGTGCAAATGCACAAAGTGGGCTCTTCAACACTCCTCCTCCAACACCACCAGACCTTAACCAGGATTTTAGTGGATTTCAGCTACTGGTGGATGTTGCACTCAAAAGGGCGGCAGAGATGGAGTTGCAGGCGAAACTTATGGCCTAAATCCCCTTCCTTCTTTCCCGTTTTGTTTTCCAGGCAGGGATCTAACAGCTGTGTGGTTATTGCCACCCACATGATATCAAAAGACTTCACTGCATTATTATTATTTTTTTTATTAATCTTATTTGCACAAGGGGATTGCTGAAATGAAGCTTCCTGTCACTGAGATGGTCTTCAGTGGAATACGGTCATTCCAAGAATTATAAACTTAAAGCTACTGTAGAAAGAAAGGATTGTGTGTTTTGTTGGTTTCTTTTTTTAAAATGTTTTCTTTGTAGGTTTTTATAATGTGAGATGGTTCCCAAGATCATGTGATTTGTTTTTGTTTCTTTCAGACTGTGCAATATCTAGTAATGATATAGAGTCTTCTTATCATTCCCATGCGGAACAGAATATACCGATACGCTGTCTAAATTTTCAATTTTTTTAACAATACAAACTTTGGATGATTATGCTTTCTTCCCCATAATGTAATAAAATATTTTCTTTAAAATCGATGCATACAGAGTATTTTGTTGAGTATGAGCTTTGCAGAAAACACATCTTACCCTTGAAAGAAATGGAAGTGAGAAATATTTTTGAGCTTGCACTGTCTTTGTTTGGTTTAGAGAGCTATGCTAGCAGTTGCTGCTAACCATATGTTTAAAAGAATGCTGAAAAGTGGGACGGAAGTACCTGACTGAGTTCTGTTACGTTGAAATTTTTTAAAGGGGCCAAAGGGAGCTATGGAGGTAACTCTTGACTAAATTCCAGAGGGGTGGCTTAGGCCTCTCTAAGAGTTCCAGCTTTTGGCTCCTAGAAACACCTTAGGGCTGGTAAATCTGAAGATCTGTGGATTCAGAGATGTGGAAGATCTCCTGAAAATGAAATGAGGAGGCTAGAAGAGGGGTTGTGTTGAGTGTTCTTTGCAGGTCTTTGTGATACAGCTTCTAGAAATGACTAGCAACAAATTTTGAAGGGGAGGGCAAGGGCTTTTACCCTTATTTTTCTTGAACTAGCAACGACAAGATCTTTATTCAGTAATTCTAGTAGACTGAAATAAAGTAGACTGTATTGGGTTGAAATCTGAGTTCTGGGAGCCAGGTCTTTGTGAGATGCTTAAACAGGTGGTTGGCTAAGATTTAGAAGAGATCCCTGTTGTATTGGAGTGGGTTTTTTTGCCAGCAGAATCTAAGTTACCTTTCAGTAAAGGACTTTGCCATCAAAATGACTTATTACTGAAAAATGTGAAGACGTGCAGCTCACATTTCAACTTACTTGAATGTCAGTCGCCCACCCTTATCCTTCCAACAACAGTGAAATAAGAGACCTCCAGGGTAAAAACTCAGTTCCGGCTAATCCTTAAAAACAAACCAGTTGTCTGTTTGGGAGGTTGGGGGAGGGCTTTGTGGGGCAGGAGAGTTGGTGAATTTAAGCATGTCATTATGAATAGAAGACTGCAATATTCAGACTGCAAGTGTATATGCATTCTGTTTTGCTGTGGCCTTTATCTTTGTTTCTAGAGTCAGAAATATTTGTTCTCTGGAGTACTATTTGGAATTCTGCTGAACTTCTGCCTTCCTTAACCTTCCAAGTTTAAAATCAAAGTAGCAAGTAGTAAACATTGGCTTACTCATGTTTGCATCAGCTTCAGTCACACAGTCATCCTAATACACTGTATGAATATTGAACTATTTTTTGAAAATACTTTGGAAATAAAGCTGGAAAATAATTTTGAATGTGAAGATAGCTGTATACTCTTCAAGTGATAGCATGTGAGTACAGAAAGAGCCTTTTGTACTGTCTCTGGACACACTATACTTGATTCCTCTAAACTGTTGTTTCTGGGATGCCTACGTATGTATTGTTGTTTGGTTGGGGTTTTTTCATGACTAATGGTAAAATGGAAGTTTACTTTTTTGTAACTGTGAGGCCAATGTTGAGAGGAAAGTTGGTAAATAGACAAGCTTTTGTGGCATAGGTGATTGATCTCAAGGGGTGCTAGACACTCCAAGAGAAGGGCCATCTTTGATAAAGGTTTGGAAGATACTTCCTTGTTCGTTCCTGTCCTTGTAGGAAGGAATTTTATTGCAACACTCCTTTACACCCATGCCTCAAGCACTGATGAAGGAAAAACAACCTCACACAAGTATGTTTGTATTGTTTCATTTGAGTTATTTGACATTTTCCTTTTTTTCCTTTTTTTCAAAGCCAATTGCTGGTGTGCTGTGGGGTAGAGAAAAAGTGGTGCACTCAGATTATTAAAGGTCATATTCAGAGATCTTTACTCTTCATTACTCTGCCCTTTAAAATAAAAAAAATGTCAGCAAGTTTAGAAAGAAAAAAAACCTTTGTTGGCTGAGCTGACCAGTTCTGTAATTCCACTACAGCAGCTGCAGTATTGAAAATGAAAATAGGATGAGCAAGAAAGCTGTTGCCATTCAGGTTAACAGTTTTCATTGAAAGTAAAAGCCTGTGGTCTCTGTGCTGTTTTCATTTACCATTATGCCACACAAAATGGCATTAGTGTAACTGAACACCAAAGTCCTGCCTGTGTGATGAGCACTGCATTTCCATTTTGCTGACTGACTTACCCTGGGAACTTCACTTATGACCAGTTTTGCTTGAGGCTAGTGATATACCTTTTTAATTATTACTTGTGTTAAGGTTACACCTAGAAGTTCAGCTGTAGTCATAAGTCATATGCCTTTGGCTGAGCAGCACCTGACACACCATGTAAAAGCTTTTCACTACCCTGAGGTGTTTAACTGGGAAGAAGAAGATTACTTACTGAGTACTCACTAAAATGTGTCAAAAGGGAGTTTTTGGTTTCCTGTAATCTAGCACTGTTCATTTTGGTACAGGCTACTGAAGTTTGCCTGAACCTATTCTTTCCAAGCAGAAAACCTGAAGTAACTCCAGATAGAATTATCCAGAGGTAGGTAGATGTAGGGCATTGGGTGGAGCTAGGATCTAGAACTAAGTGGAAGTAGTAGCAAACCAAAAGCTTCACGTGCTGGCCACTCATCCCTGGAAAAGGAAAAGTTTAATTTCTGCAACCTGGTTTACCATGGAAAAAAAAAGACAAGGATAAAGAAACAGACAACAAGGGCAGTTTTGCTGTTCTTGCAGTAGTGATAAAGCTAACTGCAAAGCAACTTTGTCAAAAACCAGCCTTACTGAAAACACACACTTTGGCTACTCTGAAGCTGGAGGAAAGGCATTGCTGCAAGTTATTGCAGACCATGTAGCCAGGGTGTCGGCAAGCTAAGAGGTATGACAAATTCATGCCAGGGAAAACAGCTCACACGCAGACTTCGTCAACCTTGTTTTTATGGCTTTTGTGTCTTGTAAACAAGTTGTGGCAGCTGCATGTGATAAATCTCTGCATAGAGCAAAATCATTACAATAGGGAGGGAATCTTGAGCCTGGCCTTACTGCCTGCGTGCATGGAGGGGGTGGTGTCTCACAGCCTGTTGTTGGGGGGGGCTTGTGGTATCCCACACATCTCCCAGCTTCTGCCATGAGGTCAGTGTACATGTCTATAAAACCGTTGAAGC